AGAACCTGAAAAGCAAACAGGTGCATCTGGGGAGTCTGGGCAGCAACCGATTCTAACTGCATCACAGTGTTGTTTTAAGGCACTTCATTTCCACTTAATGCTGCCTCGGGCCCCTAAAGCTGCCTCTGCCTCTAGGCCTTTGTCTCTACAACAAACCATTTCCTAACCCCAGGGACAGACAAACCCGCACGTGATCTTTGGCAAACGCTCTGGGGCAGTTACCCTCACGAATGCATGCTGGGCTTTTCACTTTCAACCACAGCTGGCTCCTCTGCAAGTATTCGTTAGTAGCTTTCTACATCTGACCTGTGCTACAAAGGGGCTGCCTGCATTCCAGCATGGTGTGGAGATACATGAGCAGGCTGAGGTACGGGAGCAGTGTATGCCAGTACCACAGCATCTCATTTGAAGCTGGCTTCTGTGACATCCATGGAGACGTTTTCCCCATGTAGAGAACATTAAGCTTTTACCCATAAGCTACCGTCAGGTTCAGCTTTCCATGGAGGTTAGGGTGAAAAATTCAAGGGCAGCTTGTCTTCATGGGGAAATTCGCTAAAAACTGGTGGGAGGGGGAGCAACACCTAATCCACCTAGATATGCAGAGCTAGCTGCATAGTGGGCTTGGAACTGTGGGCTGAGCTAGCTCGATGGGAGAGATTAATAACCTGTCTAGCCCTACTTCATCCAGGACCTAGGACTTTGTGCCAGCTCTAGTCACTCTTCAGGCTGGAACCACAGGCTGGAGCTTGCTTGGGCTTCACAAACCCATTTTGCTCCCTCTGCTTCATTTCTGCTCACGGATGCTTCCAAAGGATTTGGAACAAAACATGGTCTTACACCGCTGCTAAAAGCTTGCCTTTTGGCAGAACTTCTGCTGTAACATTGTTAGAGCCTCTGGCCAGTAGGAATCTAGGTGAATATACACTGAAGCCAAGTTAGAGACCCGCCAGCACGAGCAGGGTTTTTTTTGTATGAATATTCCTCACCTCAAACATAGCAAAGGTCTATTGGGTAATGTGCACATACCCTCTGCTATACTGTTGGCCACCATCACCGACTCGTGATGCTAGTAACAAGTGTGCAGTACACCATAAATACCTGATTCATTGTAGCAAGTGTTAATGTAGAAGGTGAAATCTTTTTTAAAATCTCTGATTGAACTCATTGTCTCTAACAGGATAGTCTCTGGTTGTGCGAGAAGACGTGCGAGTCTGGCATGCTGTCTTCCCCTCAGTATTCTCCACAGGAACTAACAGAGCTCTGGAGGGTGAAGGAACTGTGTGGAGATCCTTGTAGATGCGAGGAAAGATGACAGACCGGAGGCCAGGCAACAGCCAGGTTTTAGGAGTTACCTAATCAGGAATATTAAGGTGGTGAATGGTGGGAATTCCACCTGCAATGTATTTGCACATCCCTTTTGATAACTAATTGACTGATACCGTCACATTAACATTTTCTATAGGGTAGGTGTTGGTCTGAGAAAAACCAAAATGTTTAAGATAAGCAATTTCTTTTTTATTAAGTCAAAGCACTTCTTGTAATGAATAAATGATAAATGCACACAGCAGAATGCCAACTAGCTTGTTTTTTAAATTAAAGCACTACTGACTTAACTCTGGGCTGGAATACTGCCTGAAGCCTGGCTCTGAGCCTATGCGTGCAGTCTTGCACTTGCTCAGTCTCCCTGAAGTCCAGGTTGTAGGCCAGTATATTTGTTGGCAGAATTAATGTAATTTGCTATTTAAGACAGCAGCGATGTGAGCTTGGGATAGCTGGGTTCCGGGTTTCTCTGGTGTATTTTTATACTTAGTTTAATCATTTGGATGGGATGATGATGCCAGGTATCAAAGTTTGCTTATACCAAATCTTGAACTACTGCAAATATAGCCAGTTTCAAAAGGGAATTCTGATGGCTCTGTGAATAGTTAGATAAAGGGTACACACTTGAAAGTACAGCAGGTTCAAGCAATTTACCAGTATAGACACTACCTTTTAAATTGTAATGCCCTGCAACATGCTAACAAGATATTTTTAATAAATTCTCAAATTCACCAGTCTCGTCTAACGGCACTATCCATTTTTCTTACTGATTAAGTAGAATACAGACTTATGTCTGTCAGCCTTTAATCTTAAATATTCTGCAAAGCATTGGAGACGCTGTGTTTATGTCCTCTGCTTTTAAGGTCTTTAGAAGTGAAGGAGACAAAGTGATGTAAGTGGCCTTTTCCAGTACAACATTAGTTCTCTTAGAAGCTTGATGCTTGCACCTATTATAAGTGAAAATACGATTCTGGATTCCATATTGTTTTCTGTAACAAATGTACTGTTCTCTCCGCACCACTGCAGCACAAACTTAAGGGAAAACTCCTATTCCACTGCCATTTAGGCTGCAAATTTAAAGAACCAGCAAAATTCTGCTCCTCTGACATGCTAAACAATTCACTGAAAAATCAAACTGCAGTGAGTTGCTAATCTCATTTATTGAGCTACTAGTAGTGCAGGAGCCAGGAGGAGTTTCTTTCAAAATGGTCCCATCCTTGTGTACAAAATCCATGTTCTTCCACACAAATATGTCCAGGCACAAGTTGTAGAGTGATTCTGTTCAGGCAGTCCCTGGCTTCTCTTCTGAAGTTGCACAGTCCTTTTTTAGTCCATTACAAATGTATATTACCACCGTACTAACATGCAATCTCCATTTTCTATTGCGTAAAATTGCAAGGACTTCAGGTCATTGTCTAGCTCAATTTCTTTACCTTCCATCTAGGATTTAAAAAAAATGCAGACATTCATCAGGCTCATTTGAAACGCACACAAGCGAGAGTTGGATCAGATGGCTGCAGTTAACAGGGGATCTATGCTTTTATCGCAGTTGAACAGAGCCTTAAATTACAGTGAGAAGAATGCTGTGCTTTAAGTGAAATGAGTTTCTTTCTGTGGCCTTCTAGAATGCAGTGGTGACCTTTCAGGAGTTGTATTATACAGAAATAAGTTTGAATTCATGCATGGATTTACTGAATGTCAACTTACTTTCAAACTTTCATAGGATAGTTTTAGTTCTGAACCAGGAATTTTAAGCAGACGATACAGCAATCCTTTGACCTTCTGAATAGTCATAGAATCTGAGGGGGGAAAAAAAGAAAGCCAAGCATTTACTCAGAACAAATGGCCGTTTGAGGCATTTATGCCCCTGCATCTTTACATTTTTTGTAGTTAGTCCATAAAATGGTCATTTCTGATTCAGTTCTAAAAGCAAAATCATGTCTTTTGTGGTCTGGGGAGAACTGCTAGCACCAAGCTGAGGTCTGTTTTATCTTTAGTAGATTAGATTGATAAGTAACGTGTTGGAATGCTACTACCTAACCTCTCCTCACCTTAGATACCAAAATACAGATTTTTAGTCTCATTCTTTCCTGTTCATGTTTAGGATGGATGATTGACCTAAGTGACCTTCAGCACATATCGCACACCTTCCCTACTAGCACCCCTCCTGGTATGGCATACCATCCTGGTACGTTTGGCCCCAGGGCTCAGCTTTCCCAGAACAAACAGACAAATGTCTTTCTGGAACCATTTCTGTACACAGTTTGCAGAATTCAGTTACTTTCATTAGTTCTAAACATATTGTGAGTGGTTACGCACTTACATGATGAAGCAATGCAGAGAGCGATGGGAATGGATATTTTTATAATGGAACTTGAATGAGTAAATTTAGTTTGTAAAAGAGGTTTCACTGTGTTTGGAATAGAGATACTGGATATTTTGGTTATTTTTTCGGTTTTTTTGAAGCTTTACCTGAAGGCACAGCAATAGTGAGTCATTTCTGTAATGCCACATTGTACTTAGACAAATATTTTTCTATCAAACATTTTGTAAAAGCTGTATCTGATTTTATGCAACTTGTGATAATAAATGTGACATTTATTTTAGAATAAATGTTGAACATGTCTTTCCTCAGAGAATGTCTCTCTCTGCACATTTCACCATCCAGACGTGCTTCTTTTCCTGCTTGGGAAGCCCACAGCTTCAAACAGTCAAAGCTCTGAGAGGAGTCAGTGATATCTATGAAACCAAGAGGCTCTCCCCAGCCACACCACACACTCGGGTAACTGCAGTCACAGAGTTCCTGTCCTTTTGGATTAAATTTCTGCCTTAAGCTTTCATTCTGATTTCAATATCAGGAAGCCCAATTCTGATAACCAAGTCATGATTTTTCCAAACTGAAGCTGGAATTTTGCTGATTGTGGCCTATACTGAAGGCAAATTCTTTGCATTTACTGATTTGAGTCCTATCCCAGCAGGTGTTAGTGGGGTACTGCTGTTTCAGTACACAAATACTGAATGTTGTACATCAACTATAACTTGGAAATTAACAGCATGACTAGTCTTTGGCATGTCCTGGCCTGGACACCACCCTGCAGACTCCCCTGTACCAAGACTAAAAGGCAGTGTTTAGAATTTGTGCAAGCTTCATTTAAAACTTGTACTTTTAAAAATTATCAACAGGAGACAGGTTGCAACTACCTGCCCTTTTCTGTACTGCCCCTTCCAGTATGCTTCTAGCCCGGTCTGGAGAGAGCAGGCCTAGGAGTGAAGGAACTGAGTGACCACTGTTTGCTTGTTCAGAAAGATGCCCACTAAGAGTTGGAATTAAGGCAGCAACTTGCTTTTTCACAGATCAATGAATAGCCACCACATGGTAACAGGGCTTAGTACTGGCTTGAGGTGAAAGGCTCCACACACCAGGCTCATATCCTACTTCCAAATTCCTCAACCAACATTCAGGTTGTTTAGAATAAAGGCATTGGTCCCATCTTTGAAGGTGGGCAGTGTCTTCAGCTGGTCACCTGTCCTGGCCTCCCCGGAAGCAGCTGCCTCCTGCTGTCCTCAGACCATTTACAGACTGCAGAAAAGAGAAGCAAGCACCACATCAGCAGCTGCTGAAACCAACTTGCTAACATCCCGGTTCTTACCTGGTAGTTTCTTCTCCATTGGTTTCTGATCAGGTTTATCAGGACACTTAATTGTCACAGCTTAAAAAAAAAAAGAAGAAAAAAAGGGTCATGGTGACAAATTTAGCTGGATTTCAAACCCAAGTCTACCACAGCCCACTTCTGGCAATAGCTCTACACAGAAGCCCTGAATTGTGGCTGCGTCCAGACAGGTTGAATTTGGTTTCCCCCTCTCAAATTGGCTAAATCAACAGAATCTGAGCCCTAATTGGAATGTAGAGCTTCTTGTTTTAAGCAGTCTTGCTCTGACTGCATATGTTACAGACAAGCAAAGAATCATCAGCCAAAACTACACCTTTCATCCTGCTCCTCTGGATTTTGTCTCCCCAGCCCATGGTAATGTGCCACAGCCAGCTCTCAAAGGCTTTTGACCCTTTAAGCCTCCTCATGCCGCCTCTTCCAGAAACACTGTCATTGAAATAGCCCAGTCTACTACACTGTGGCTGTAAGGGCATACTACCTCATCTGCTCTTCCTTTTGTGGATTAATTGTGAGAATGTAGGACACCTTTCTCTGCTGCCTCCTGACAGGTTCCAGGAATTATCCAAAGTTTACCTGCATAATATCTCCAGATTATTCACCAAACTGTATAACTGGGACTTTACACATAAGGTTGAGGGATGATTGTGGACCTTATCGCACAAGACTTCCTGCCCTTCACATGTTACAGACACAAAAATACCAATCTAATAACACTGTAAATATAGAAGGAAATTCTTATTTATTGGAATGGGGTCTGGGAACGTTATTAGACTGAACAAACAGTAAGGCAGCAGCATGCATAAACTGGCTTCAAAACTTTGGTACTCTAGAAACAATCTTTTTGTAACAGCTGGATTTTAAATGCAAAAATGTATAATATATTCATTTCAAGTCTCTTACTTAGTAACTGATTTTTCAGAGTGAAAGGCTGTTGCGCTTTCAGTTCCCCTTCTTCAGGAGCACCATACTCTATAAAAAACAACACACACACACCTCTTAGTCAAATGAGATAAAGCAGGAAAAGCAAAGAAAAAGTTCTGCAGATAAATGTTTCAGCTAAACTCTCTCTCTAATGTAAGTGCAGAGAGAAATCACCCACTAATCTTTTATGGGATAACCTGGTCCCTGGGATCATCCCACTAGTACAGAACTCTACTGCCCCTCACTGTTACACTTCCCTTAGGGGCAAGGACTCCACTCATCAAAAGGTTCTGCGACACAGACTATGCAAAACCCAACAATGCAACCTCCCACCCTGTCACTTGCTGGAGTCTGCAGCCCTAAGCGAGGGTCCCCTATGCAATGCAGCAATGGAACGAGGGGGAGATCGCTCCACCACAGAACGTGCGGTAGCCAGGAGTTGAAAATACTCCCCTGGCACATGGGACCCGCAGGGTCCACTCCTTGCTTGACCAATTCAGAGCAGGAATCTGAAGCCAGCTCTCAGACAAGTGCCCTAAACCCACCAAAACACCAGATATTCAGAGCAGGTCTCAGATTTGCTGATGTTTCAGTTTGTATAAATACAGATTTACTGAAGCGGGGACTTGACCCTGTCTCCCACACACCAGAGACTGCCCTATCCTCCCACTTAGACACCCAGTGAACAAGGTCTGCAATTAGGACATGAATCTTGGTCTCCCATATCTCAGGAGCATGTGAAGCCACAAGCGCATCTTGAGCAGGACGCACCAGCATATTCTAAACACATCTACAGGACTGGGCCCTTCGAGAAAATCCTGTTTCAGGGCTGCCAGGGCCCTGACCTGTGCAGTGACGGCACTGGACAGACAGCTCTGCACATGCCACATCTGGGCAAGTTCATGGGTTCGGCCGCAGCGGAGCAGCAGTCTGAACATGTTAACAGTGGCCAAGTCCCTTTGAGGATTTAGGCCTCCTGTTTTCTACAGTCCAGGAGCCCAGCTGCTGCTCCAGCAGAGCCAAGGGCTAAAAGATGAAGCAAGACAACACTGCAAACACTTTTCACTCTGCAAACACTTTTCACTCTGAATTCACAACATCGCATTCAAATATGTAAGCTTAATAAGATTTTTCATCACCGACTCTGGAAGCACCTCTTAAAACCTTGGGCATAGCCACTGCATCTCGGTTAGGCACCAGCATGGTACAACAACCAGATACCAGAGCTGGATCCAGACGTGCAGGCCCATATACGCTCTGGCAATGTGAACCTCTTTGCAGTGCTACAAACCACATGGGTTGCATATTAACAAGTGTGCCATGCTGCTAATTTGCAGTATGGGGCCAAAATTTGCTACTGGGATTTCCCGATAGCAAAAAAAAAAAAAAAATCCTGGGGAAAAAAAGGAAAAAAGCAGTGCAACCCACACTGAAGTGGCAAGCACTCGGACAAATGCAGAGACAAAGGAGCAGGCAGCCCAAGGTGGGGCAGGCCCTCCTCGTAGGGTGCCTCGAGACAAGGGAGTAGGCTGCCCTGGGCTGGTTGCTCCCCTGTCTCTATGTGCCGCAGTGAGGGGGCTTCACTACAAAACCCCCGCACTGAGGCACACTGCGCTCCAGCCAGCCACGATGGTTAGCATCGCAGGGGGAGGGACATCCAAGCCCTTTTGTCAACTGAGAAACCTGGGTAAGAAGGCAAACATCTTCCACACTGGTGTCTGACTGTGCAGAGGTATGTTCAGAGTGGGCACTGTATCAACAAGGAACTGGAACAGGCAGGTAGCAAGCAGGAAATAGAGCAACAGAATTTGGCTGAGCAGGCCAGAGATACCAAGACAGACAGACAGACAGACACGTGAGGATGTGACCTCCACCTCATTTTACATGGCATTCAACTGCATTTACCCACCAGTGATTGGGGCCCAGGCTCCCACCTCCAGCCTCCTTTTGGCCAGAGCTTCTGGGAACAGTTTGACTTTTATTAGTAAATGTTTTGGATTGGGAATCCAGAAAAGAAAATGACAAAGCTGATATGGATACTAAACAGTCATTTAGACCAGGACAACAACCTATGGCCCAAGGGTCGGATCTGAGCCGTGGAACACTTGATCTAGCCTACAGCCATGGGGCTTCAGCAGCATTCAGCCGTGGGGGGCTTTGGCTGCAGGTGCTTCCCTGTGCTGCTGCAGACACGAACACCGGCTGTGGACACTCTCCCTATGCTGCTGCAAAGAGAAGCGCTGGCTGTGACTATGTTCTAGCACCTGCCTTGGACCCAGGGTGGATCGTTCTGGCCCACAACCAGACATGGTTGCCTATCCCTGATTTAGAAGATGCCTGGGAGACTCCCAAAAAAGTGGACCAGCAAGTCCTGTTAGGCAGCTGGCCTGAAACCTGTTCCTCAGTGGCAGAAATGCCTGAATGCTCAGACAGTACGTGACTCTTGTGGAAAGTGAGACCTTAAATGGGACAACAAAGGACAACTCCAGGACACAGCTCTCTGGGAAAACACCCTGCCAACTTCAAAACTGGTCAGGCCGCAGTTGAAGTACTCTGTCCAGTTCCGGGCATCGCACTTCAGGAGGGATGTGGACAACATGCAGAGGGTCCAGAGGAGGGCCACTTGCATGATCAGGGTGCAGCAGGGCAGGCCCTACGAGGAGAGGCTACGGGACCTGAACCTGTTCAGCCTCCACAAGAGAAGGCTTGAGAGGGAATCTAGTGGCCTGTTACAAACTAGTCAGAGGGGACCAGCAGGCACTGGGGGAGTCCCTATTCCCCCAAGCACTGCCAGGAGTGACTAGAACTAACAGTCACAAGCTGGCAGAGGGTAGATTCAGATTAGATATCAGGAGGCGCTACTTCACTGTCAGGGCAGCTAGGATCTGGAACCAACTTCCAAGCAAAGTGGTGCTGGCTCCTACCCTGGGGGTCTTTAAGAGGAGGCTAGATGAACACTTTGCCAGGGTTGTCTGACTCCAGTACTCTTTCCTGCCATGGCAGGGGGTCAGACTTGATGATCTGCTCAGGTCCCTTTGACCCTACCAACTGTGAAACTATGAAAAAGCAGGAGCAGAACAATGGGAGCAGAGGGCAGTTTTAGAACTGCAGAGAGGCAATTGCCCCAGTGATACTGAAGGTAGGAATCACATATGGGCCCATTTACTGTTCTGCAATACTGCATTGCTGGCTTTTTCTTCGCATGGGGTGTGGGCTCTTATATTGCTTGACTTTAGGTTTTCTCTTCCTTTTGTCTTCAAAAATCCTACGTTTAACAAAATAGAGGTGGCACCAAAATAGAAAGGCAACAAAGCAGGTCAGGGCCATTCCCTGCACACTGGGAAGAACATAGAGGCACAACACCACAATAGGAAAATCTCCATTTTGCTTCCACTGCACTTACTAAGGCAAAGTAACTGGTATCTGGGATGGGCAGCAAGGAACTCCTCTTGGGGTCTGTTTTTGTCAGGGTCCTGATGCCCGCCAGCTGCGAGCCATTCATTTCCAAACATTTTGCGATAGTCAAGCTCTGCTCCCTTTCTTTCCTGAGGAAGGATCTGTAGTGACACAAGGATGAACACATAAAAAGTGTCACTAAATGTCATTAGCTAGTCACATGTTCAGCACTTTTTTGAAGCTTTCAAGAACTATGAACTTCTGAAACCAATGGATTCATACTCAGATGTCAGTTGTTGATGTTGCCATCATTATAGCATGTAATAAGAACAAAAGATTAAAGTGTGAAAGCTCTCAAGAGCACAAGGATTTTTATCAATTATGAAACATTTCAGATCCTTTCATGTTACTAACATCCTCTTAACACAGAAAATGTTTGAGGAAGCATATCAAGGTTATCAACTGCATGTGCACCGTGACAACTTCTGACCAGCAAAGGGCTAAACAAATAAAACTCACCCCTGGCCTTTGTGGCATATACTTTCACAAGGTTAGTCTACATGTGCAATTAATGTGAAGCAATAAACTTTGGAATCTATTGCTACTTGCACATGCACCCGAGATCACAGCATGTTGAGCCGGTTAGAGCAGCCCCAGCTGTCCGGGCGCACTGGGGGTCAGCTTGCCAGTCCAGGGCTGCTCCCCTGGGCTCAATATGCACCAGAGCGGCTGGTTGAGGCACAAGGGTGCTTCATTGTGGAGCTAGCCAGAAGGCAGCCCCTGCACTGAAGCACCCACATGCCCCAACCAGCCAGGACAGCATCTACACATGCACTGCTGCAGAGTTTTTTTTACTCCACAGCAGGATAGTACTTGTATTTACAAGTATGTACAAGTACTATCCTGCTGCACAATAAATTAATTTACTCCAGCCTAATAGGGGCACATGTATAAATGCCAAGACATTTACTGTACAGTTAATTAGTCTATTGCCCAGGGTGTCTTGGGTTGTTACTAAAAGGAAAATGTGGGTCATCTGCCCTGTTAAAGCAATGATCCCTGCTTAATGGAGAGTGGAAGTAATTCCCATTCAAATTGCTTCATACTAGTTTTGTTTAACCTGTCAATTAAAAACTTTGTGATCTGGGACCAAAAATCCCTTTGCAAAGTCTATGTAATTTAGACACTACAAATTCATGCTCCGTGACTTGCCCACCCAATGTCACAGAAAGCCAGTGGCAATGAGACAAACAGAGCCCAGGATGCCCAACTCTGTGTGGTGGCACCATCTTCATTTCCCCATCTGTGCTCAGAAATGTACTGAGAAAGAAAGAAACCCAAAACGCCATCAGCTCTTTTTCCTTCATACAAGTTCTTGCAGCATCACATACCTCAGATTTGTTTAAGAATTTCAGCTGACCTATTTTGGCAATGATTAGCTGTCTCAGTGTCTCAGGGCTTTTCTCTGGGCCCAAAGGGTTATTCCAACAGTGCAGCGACTCCAGACTTTGCAGTTTATCGAGTTCATTGACAAATGACCACTGGAACAGAAGTTGGAAAGAAATGTATTATTGATTTTTTAAAAGAGCAATCTCTGAATCAACATGAAATTTCTATTTTGTTTCAGAACAACACATACTACTAGCTTCTGCCACCAGAACCACTAGAGAAATGACTATTTGGTTCTGCTACCCAAAGAATATTATTTATGTGGGTATTTATTCATTTATTTTACTTGCAACACAGCCTACTAAATACCACTTTCACTGGGCTTGTTCAGTTAAGAGAACATTTTTGAAGGAACTGAAAAAAATGAACCTGTGGAAAAGCAAAGAGATCAGGGCGTGTTCAACAGGAAACAAGGAAGTGGGCATAGATTATGGAATAATAAGAAAGGGAGAGGTCCAGTGAAAAAAATGGGTAGGTCCAGGGACCATGCATCATTATGTACAGCGTACTCCTCCATGCCCAGCCTAGGGACTGAAAACTTATCCATTTAACTCACATAATCAAACGTCAGGCCCATGTTTGATTATGTGAGTTAAATAGATAAGTTGGACAGAAGGCAGGGAAGAGTGGCACCTTACAGACTAACTAGATGGGGTCTCAAATCACAAGAGGGACTGAATGGAGAAGTGTGGCTGGGACTAAAGCGAATTATGACTCCAGTTCTGGTACCTGGCACCTGCATTCACATTTAATTTCTCAGACAGGGATTCAATCCATTCTCTGAGAATGAACATACACCCGCTTAGCAATGATTCACCACATTCTACCAAATACCAGTAAGCCAACACACCCGCACAGTCAACTGAGACTTGCTCACTGAGTCACAATGGGACCCAAATTGCAGTAGCGCATCTTTCGGTGCTCAGAGGCATTTCACCAATCCAACTTACTGCTGATAGAACTGCATGCCGGCTTTAATCTCGTGGTGCTATTGCTATAAGGTTAGTCTACCCAGTCACTTCTAACACAATACAAGAGCAGCTATTCCTTTGAAAAGGAAGCAATTTAAACCAAAAAAACCCGTACGTCCTGTGACATAACTTTCTAACAGACTTCTTTGGGCACCCTGTAAACATCAGTAGTAGGATACATCAGGTTCCGTGGATGCATTTCCCAATGCAGAAAAAAGTATAGGATCAAAAACACAGTAGAGGATTCACAAATATAAAGAATACAGTATCATGGTTTACAGGTCTATTTTAGATGCTTGAAAATCTACCTTCCCTGGATCGCCTTGGCAGGGGGAGTGACATAGAGCAAAGTTAGTGTTTAAAACTAGGGAATGTTTGCAAACGGAGTTTTCCAGAGAGAGAGCCTTCCCCCAAACACCTTAACGTTGACAGAATATACCAAGATCTTTTGCACAGACCTTGGGTTCTGCTCCTAGTCAGTCTCCCTTGGGTGACTTTTTCCTCAGCTCACGCATGGCATCCACTACCCTGGGAGGAAGCAGCATGGAAAGAGTTTGATTCTCAGGATGCATCTGAACTTGATGTGTTCAGACCAAACAAGACTACACTATGTATGCAAACTGGCAAGTTTTCAAGCCTGGCAGGTTTCACATGAACAGTGTGGCTCAAGATTACCTGTGACATGCAGAATTACAAAGGCTAATCTACAGCCAGTGTTAACTTGAATCTAACCTTTGGCAGAAAGCTTGGCAGGGGGACAGAGAGGTAAGTAGCAAGACACCTACATTTCCAATATGTCTCTGCCAACAGGGTGATTTTGGAGGAGAGCAAAAAATGCAGAACATGCTCAGATTACTTCCAAAATAAATTACACATGCTGGAAGGGGAGGTGGGAGTAGAGAGGCAAGGGAGTGGTGTTAAGTAGCAGCAGAGGGAAAAGGAGCTAGGATGACATACCAGGAGTGGTAGCAGGGCAAATGGTAGAGGAGAGAGCTAGGGGCAAAGGGCCTGTCAGACTCCCCCTGCACTAACATGCTGAGATCTGGGGAGCCCCAGCCCTTCTGGGATCATACCTCACACAAGCAGGAAGCTAGGAGGGGTTTGGCAGCCTGGTATGGCGCCCAGTTTGTGGGCACAGCCTGAATCAGCATACAGACCAGGCCAAGTAAACAGAGCAATGTACCATACTCAGGGAGCTGCTGCCTGAGAGCATGCTAGATGGCAAGTAGCAACTGTTTACATGCCAAACGTTTCCAAAGTGCCCTGGGGAACCAGGCGAGAGGGAGGGGCTGTCTATTGTGTGCGTATCCCTCCCATTCCCGCAATAGTCTCCTCTCACTGAAAGTTGGAGCTGTGCTGAACACGAGCTGGCTTCAAATGGCCCGAGCTGTATGCCAGGCCTGCCCCACAGGAAGCATTGCACCTGCTGAATTTTACCACCTCTTCGCCCTTTTTGCAGCACCTCCCCGCCTTAGGCGCATGACATTGTACTGTCACTTATCCACAACCCACACTTATCTCCCACCAAACAGCTGCCAATCCTTGTGGCAGGAAGCCCATGCCCCACTCTTGATGCAGCCTACACATGGCAGTGCTGGAAAGTGGCCTGCTGAATCTCACCAAGCACACAGCTTCGCTGCACTTTGATGACAAATATGGAAATCAGGTGGAGGAGGATCATACCAGCCCCAGAAGAGCACACAGCACAGTACTGAGTTGCCCTCATCACAGTCACAGCTCTAAGCAGCTACTCTTAGCCAGACTACCATTCAGTACAGCTCCACCTGACACAGTGAATGCCCCTGTAGTGCATAAAGACTATTCCCACTGACTATTGTCATCCCTAGAGATGCACAGGTATGATTACAGGGACATGTATCTTTACTCTTTATTCCTGGTTTCCCAAAGTTTGACTTCTGCTGGAAAGATCCCAGAGATCCCACCAGCTAGCTAACCTTAACTCCCCATTCACTAAGTTTGTTGTCACTGAATCCATAATGAAAAACCATTCTAAAACCCAGAATCATTTTTTACCACAATTCACTGAGACAGAAAAACAGAGAAAGTCTACTAACTTCTCAGTTTGATTCCTGGCATTGAAATAGCAGAATCCTTGGGAGGATGTACTGGATCGGAAAAGCTAAATTACCATAAACACATTGCAAGATGATTTATTTAAAAAAAATAAAAAATAAAAAAAAAAAAAAAAAAAAAAAAAAAAAAAAAATAAAAAAAAAATAAA